TCTAAGAGATCAAGACTTGTGATGCTACTTTCTTTTTCTTCCTGCAAAAGTTTTCTTACAAGAAATAATGCTTCATTAAAACTTTAGAAATAAAAAAGAAAAAAAATACATTGTCAAATTCAAAAGGTAATACTCTGTAGAATGAATCCGTGGAACGAATCATTACAATAGATTTGTATAACATGACCAAATCCAGTGTTGAAAAAGCAAAATTACCACCAAAAAAAATTCATACCAAGAAACTTTCATCACAACACAAATTCTTATTACAATAGTTTTTCTTCGATTTGAACAGCAGGTTAAAGGTCCTATTGCAAACCATCAAAAGTCATTCTCATTACAACCAACAAGAACACCAACAAGAATTTGACAATAGAAGTATTTAAAAAGTTTCTTTGTCTTTTGGTTAAAGGATGATGCTGTAAAGGATGATTTTCAATGTGTGGATAGATTCAGGAGAGAGAGAGGATGAGAATTATGAGAGAAGCTTTTAGAGCATACAATATTTAGTCTGATTTTTAAAATTTGAGTTAAAAAAAAAGTGGAGGGAATTTGAAATTTCAGCTCCTTCAATTTTTAACACGTTATATGGGGGTGGTGAACGGAGACCACTTTAATGCCCTGTTTGGTTACATGCCCACGCGATTGAGCTTGGCAAACTTAAGAAGCAAAGAAATCTATTATTAAGATGTCTGTAATAATATATTTTATTGATGTGGGATATTTTTAAGTGTTCAAATTTTTAAGAATTAGAAAGTACTAATGTTATTAAGTTATTCAGCCCTAATTGTCGAACCTGACAGTTCTACTCCATTGGTGAAATTCAGCCCTGATCGGAATATTGAATCGACGCTCTTCCTTGATTTGGACCAAGCAAACTAGAATCATCAAATATCTATCAATTCTACTCCAAGTTAATTGACTCGTAACTGATTGAACTAATGCCACAAATTCACAGATTTACCTTAAATATGCAGAAAGGAGTATGTCTATATCAATACTAAAATACACCACCTCTGATGTGAATACTAATCTAATGGATGAAAACTGATCCTCAACTAGTAACTGATTCTACTCCAAGTTGCATGCCAGGATGCTCTCCACAAACCATTATTACAGACATATGCAAGTTTTTGCAGAGTGCAGTTGCTGAGGTTTTTCCAAGTTCTCAACTTCGTTTTGGTTTGTCACACATCATGAAAAAGGTCCCAGAGAAATTGGGAGGACTGCACAACTATGATTCCATTAGAAAGGCAATGATTAAAGCAGTTTATGAGACTTTAAAACCGTTCGACTTTGAAGCAGCATGGGGATTTATGATCCAGCGCTTTGGAGTTGGTGAGCATGAGTTTATATTTACAAACATATACGAGCTTACATGAGCTTATGTGTTTATGAGCTTAGCCTAATACTGTTCCGTATCTAACTTGTTTACTAAACAAACCTAGAAATCGAGCGTGAACTCGATTCGTTTGCTTAACCAATGCAAAAAAAATTGAGTTATTCATGAACACCACGTTTATTTGCAACCTTAAGAGAGAGTTTGATCATGAAAATAGAGAGAGATCTTGAATGTGAGTGTGTAAAATTTCAAGAGTTAGTGATCCTTTTTATATAGAGTTGCGGGGTCTTCCATAGAGTAGTGATATTCACACTGAACAATTACAGCGAATTGTCTATCCCAACAATTTTTAATTAGCTATTTATACCAAATACAATTAAGTGAAGTGTTCCAATTCATTATCTGTTGCATAATTGACCAATTAAAAGTATAAGTATAACAATTCACTGCAATTATTTAGTGCAAAATCATTTTCCAATTAAAAATGTAGACCAAATTAATTAAAGGCCAATAGAAAAGTCATTAAACTTGCAATGAAAGATTCATTCATGGGTTAAATAAAATGTCATTAATCTTGTAATGGAAGATCTAAATTAGAGAGCCACGAAGATTCACAATTACAATTTGTCATAAAATAATTTATTAGACCAAAGAGTAAAGATAAGAGAGTAAAATTGGGCTAAATAATACAAGTATCAAATTGGGCCAATGTGAGTTTGATTTTGCTCAACAAGTATCACCTATTTAGTTTGATTATTTAAAAATATGCAAGAATACATATTTTAACTTCAAATTCAAAATTGCTTACCGGCCAGCCAAAAAAATAAATAAATAAATAAAACTTCGAATTCGAAATTTGAGGGGAGGATCTGTGGCCAACAACTTTTACACAAGTGAGGCCCACTATCTCTCTTTTACATTCTGAATTTGGGAGAGAAATATTAATTTTCAAAAATTGTAGAAGGCAAATTAGATTTTAGAAAACTTAAAAAGAATAATATTTAAAAGTGGGTATTTTTTTCAACTCGTTTTTCAAAAAATAATCAAACAAACAAATCTTAGAACTGATTCTTAGTTTTTTCTTTTATTAGAAAATAAAAAATATTTTCAGAAAACAAAATAATCTTATTAAACAAACTAACTCCTACCTCTTCTTGATGTATATGTTGTCCAATCTTCTTCGGTTAAATTTTTTGATCGGATTATAAATTATTTTTTAATAACAAATCGGATCAGAATCAATGCAATCTCATCATCTATGGTTGATAATGAAAAAAAGTTATATTACTTGATAGTCAATAAATATTTGTTGAAAAATTGTTCTCAATATTAACTTAGAATCCGAACAAATTAAGCTGTATCTATAATAAGAAACAATTTGGTTTGTATCTAAAATACGTAATTTTTTTTAAGTTTCGGTTTAGGTTTGATGGCTAAATTGATTCCCAAACTGTGGTTCCCTTTATCTACTTTGCTACTGGGGACTTGACCTCACCTTTTACTATAGTCTTAGGTTACATTTGATGAAACTAAATCAATACATAAGTCACATGGTATTAAGTTTTTAAGATAAGGATTATGATGATGAAAAGCAGCAAGTCAAAGTCAAAGTCAAAGTCAAATCAAAGTTGCAATTTGATAAACCACACATCCAAAGTCCAAATAATGCTAGTCAAATATAAAATTAGGAAGATAACAGTCCCCTTGAAAGAACAGAAGAAAGACCACCAGGAGAATTCTAAAAATTCGTACCCCAAGGGCCTCCCACAACTCTGCAAAAAGGCTGCCTAGCTTCCGAGATTTTACACACTTGCATTCGAGATCTCTCTCTATTTTTATGGTCAACCTCTCTCTTAAGGCTGCAAATAAACAAGTTGTTCGTGAATAGTTCAAGCTCTGCGTGCTAATTAAGCAAACAAACCGAGTTCAAGCTTGATTTCTAGGTTCGTTTAACAAAGAAGTCGATTATGAACAATATTGGGCTAAGCTCGAAAACATATAAGCTCGTATAAGTTCATGAACATAAGCTCGTATAGGCTCATGAACACATTCGCAAACATAAGTTTAATTTTATAAACATAGGCTTGTGTAAGCTCGTATAAGTTTATAAACAAGCTAAAACAATTTTGAACACAAGCTAAAATCGAGCTTGAATGACTTTTGTTATTCAACAAGCCTAACCCAAGTCGAGCCCGAGTTAAGCCTGAACTAACCTTCTGTTTTGATAGATCAGAGAGTACCACTATTATAGCCTTGGTTGTATTTGGTGACCCGAACTAAAGTAACTAAATCAGGATTTGTACACTTCAATTAGTGAACATAATTTAAACAATTTTTCATTTTTTAAAAATATTTAAATAAAATCAAACTTCCATTTTAAATAAGTTTCCATTTATATATATATATACATTTGGTAGGTACATTCACTAAAATAAAATAAAAAACAATTCAATTACATAGATCTTATTTTTGATTGATCAGAATTTAAGCAAGCTTCCAATTAAGTGTATATATATCCATCTATCTATCTATTTATCTATCTCAACTCTCAAGCTTGCACTTTAAACAGGCTTCCATTTTTTTTTTTTATTATATACACACACACACTATACCTTTGGTAAGTACATTTATTAAGAGAAAAACAATTCAATAACATAGATGTTATTTTTTATTGATCAAATTTTAAACAAGCTTCTATTTTATGTAATTTATTTATGAAACCTAAAAAAATTAAGAAAATTTATAAAAAGTGGTTGTGTGTGTATCAAAGTCATCCCAGTTGGCACGCCAGGTGGTGGTCATTCATCTATGCAGCAACCAAGGGCCATTGGGATGTGTTTCCCCAATGCGGTTGTGGGGCCCCCTCCAATATAACCCCTTAATCCAAATTTGTTTTTGCTTGCCAACCCTTGGTGGATTGGGACCTCTCTAACCCGGAGGGAATGAGTACATTCATTTGGGTCCTCTCTAACCTGTGAGGATCAGGTGCACCAATTTGTGTTATGGCTAGTAAGACAATGGTTCACCAACCTGCACTGGAACCCGATTCCAGTTCCAGCCCACACTACTGAGCTCGGCGAACTTGAGTAGCAAAGTATTCTATTATTAAGATGTATATAATAATATATTTTATCGATGTGGGATATTTTTAAGTATTCAAATTTTAAAGAATTAGAAAGTACTAATGTTATTAAGTTATCAGCCCTAATTGTCGAACCTGACAGGTCTACTCCATTGTGAAATTCAGCCCTGATCGGAATATTGAATCGGCGCTCTTCCTTGATTTGGACCAAGTAAACTAGAATCATCAAATATCCATCAATTCTACTCCAAGTTAATTGACTCGTAACTGATTGAACTAATGCCACAAATACACAGATTTACCTTAAATATGCAGAAAGGAGTATGTCTATATCAATACTAAAATACACCACCTCTGATGTGAATATTAATCTAATGGATGAAAACTGATCCTCAACAACAGTATAGGATAGAAAAAAAGGCAAATACATGAATTAATTTAACACGAAATGATATTGGATAAGTTGTGAGTGTTTTTAAAGCTCTTATGCACATATCTAGAAGGTGGAGAGTACTTGAAGTTACACTTGAACACAACCATTTGTTAGGTACAAAAATCTATAAGTCAATTAAGAAGATGAACACTGGAACGAAGAGGAAGCTGCAGTCAAACTCTGACGCAGGAGTACGGACAATCAAGTTGTACCGGGCACTTGTAATTGATGCAGGAGGTAATGGGAACTCAAATTCTAACGCAACAGAAGTCAGGAATTATTCTGATCATCCAAATCAGTTGATCTTGGGAAAAGGTGATCCTCAAGCCATTTATAACTACCTCTGTCGTATGCAATTAACAAATCCAAATTTCTTTTACTTGATGGATCTTAATGATGAAGGGCGTGTGAGGAATGCGTTCTGGGTGGATGCCAGGTCCAGGGCTGCAGGTGGTTACTTTAGTGATGTAATCAATGGAGGAATTAGTAATGGGCTAACCTGGGCTATAGCCCAGGTCCAATTAAAGAAAAAAAAATTAGTACTATTGTTCCTACAAGCCCATGTATTACTCTTCTTCTTCCAATTAGCCCAGCCTAATCCATAGTATTTCTATAAATAAAAAGAGTTATAAAATTTACAAAGGTCAAACCTTAAATATGAGCAAGCTTACGAACTATAGACATGCCCAATCACAAAATAAAACATATTAAAATATAATAGAGTCCAGCCCCGTAAATCAAACACATTGTTAGTCTATAGAAGAAGACCTAAACTCTTCGTGTGTAAGGCGCTAAGGCATAGGTGGATGGATATTATGGATTATTATTGTTAATCCAGTGAAATATTGAATTTTATTTTTGTAAAAAAGATAAAAATAAAAGGGCATTGTTGATGACTTGATAATTTTTTGTTAAATTGGGTAATTTACTATATAATAGATTAATAACTAGTCAGGGGTTGAACACATAGGTCTTACTTTCTAATGTGAATTTATTGATAAGGAACATATATATCTTGCATTTTTATAATTGTTTATTTTAATACTTGTATGAAGCAAACTTTAATGAATTCTTGACAGTAAAAGTACGTTAGAGTTTGGAAGTGTAAATGTATTAGAAGGTTGTACATTATTGAGTTTAATTGAATAATTGATGCATGATAATTATATATTTAGAGCATGGATGACACACTAAGCAATGATGTGTTTAATTATTTTTAGCCCTCCCTACTTTGCAATCCTGGCTCCGCCCTGGATGTAATATTATTTGACAATACTTATTTGTCAAATAAACATGAGATCCCACTCGTGACGATTGTTGGGCTAAATCACCATGGTCAATCAGTTTTACTGGGTTGTGGCCTGCTTGCAGGCGGGACAACAGAGTCCTATTTGTGGATGTTCAAAGCATGGGTCAGTTGCATGCCAGGATGCTCTCCACAAACCATTATTACAGACAGATGCAAGTTTTTGCAGAGTGCAGTTGCTGAGGTTTTTCCAAGATCTCAACATCGTTTTGGTTTGTCACACATCATGAAAAAGGTCCCAGAGAAATTGGGAGGACTGCACAATTATGATGCCATTAGAAAGGCATTGATTAAAGCAGTTTATGAGACTTTAAAACCGTTCGACTTTGAAGCAGCATGGGGATTTATGATCCAGCGCTTTGGAGTTGGTGAGCATGAGTGGCTCCGGTCTTTGTATGAAGATCGAGCTCGATGGGCTCCAGCGTATTTAAAAGACACATATTTTGCTGGAATGGCTGCTGCACGGCCCGGTGAGATCCTGAATGCATTTTTTGACAGGTATGTGCACAAACAAACTCCTTTGAAAGAATTTCTCGACAAGTATGAATTAGCTTTACAAAAAAAGCACAAGGAAGAAGCACTTGCAGATATGGAGTCTAGAAACTCAAGTCCCACCTTGAAAACAAGATGTTCCTTTGAGTTTCAACTGTCCAAAGTGTATACAAGAGAAATATTCAAGAAGTTCCAAATCGAGGTGGAGGAGATGTACTCTTGTTTCAGTACAACACAATTACACATTGATGGACCAATCATAATATTCTTGGTGAAGGAGCGTGTTTTGGGAGAGGGAAATAGGAGGGAGATCAGGGATTATGAAGTTCTGTACAATAGAGCAGCAGCAGAGGTTCGTTGCATTTGCAGCTGCTTTAACTTCAATGGTTATCTATGCCGGCATGCATTATGCGTGCTCAACTTCAATGGGGTGGAAGAGATCCCTTCTAAGTACATTCTTTCACGGTGGAAAAGGGATTACAAGCGTTTATATATTCCCGATCTCGGTTCCAATAATGTCGATGTTACTGACCGGGTTCAATGGTTTAATCAGTTATATAGAAGTGCTTTGCAAGTTGTAGAGGAAGGGGTAATTTCCCTTGACCATTACAAGGTTGCTCTACAAGCATTCGAAGAGTCGCTGAATAGGGTTCATGATGTAGAAGAAAAGCAGGAATAACATAAAATGATTGTGAGTTTCTCTGTAACTAAACTGTTACCATTCCTTTCTATCCTCTCCTGTTGTTGAGGGAATGACTCCAGCTGTTCTTGTGCATAATGTATTATTCTTCACGAAGCGAATTGCGACTGCTTTATCAATATGAAAAAAATAAAAAAAAAAATAGGATCAGTTTTCATCCATTATATTAGTGTTCACAGTGTTCTGTTTTAGATATATATATATATATATATATATATATATATATATATTGATTGAAACAATCTTCTGCATATTCAAGGTAAATCTATGTGTTTGCGGCATTAGTTCAACCAGTTACGGGGTCAATTAACTTGGAGTAGAATGGATCGATGTTTGATGATCTAGTTTTCTTGGTCTAAATGAATGAAGAGTGCCGATTCAATATTACATTCAGGGCCGAATTTCACAATGGAGGAGACCCGTCAGGTTGGGCAATCAAGGTTGAATAACTTGATAGCAACATTAATACTTTCTAATTCTTAAAAATTTGAACACTTAACAAAATCCCACATCGATAAAATATATTATTACATACATTTTAATAATAGATTTCCTTACTTCTTATGATTGCCAAGCCCAGTAGCGTGGGCTTTAAAGTGCTCGATTGTGGAATCGAGCTTCAGTGCAAGTGGGTGAATCATTGTCCTACTCCAGTAACACAATTTGTCCTCACGAACTAGAGAGGACCTGAACGAATGATGCCCAATCCACCATGGGTGGCAAGCCCAAAAAACAAAAACAGAAGGATGATTATAAGGGGTTAGGATAGACACAACCCATATCATTGGTTGCATACACAGATGAATGGGCACCCAACGGGCGTGGCAACTGGATGACTTGATCCCCACACACAACCACTTTTTGTATATAATAATAATCTAAAACTTATAAATATATATATATATATATATATATATTGTTTAGGTTATTCTTAATAAATTTGCTTAATTTTTTTTTAATTTGATAAATAAATTACATAAAATGAAAGCTTGTTTAAAATTTGATCAATCAATAATAACATATTTATAATTTACCTACTTGTTTTTTTCTTAATAATTTTACCAACTTGTTTTTTTCTTAATAAATGTACCAACTTGTTTTTTTTCTTAATAAATGTACCAACCAAGGTATAGTGTGTATATATAATAAAAATAAATAAAATTGGAGGCTTGTTTAAAGTGCAAGCTTGAATTTTTTTTTTTTTTTTAAAGAGGAAGCTTGCTTAAATTCTGATCAATAAAAAATAAGATCTATGTAATTGATTTTTTTTTTTTTTATAATAAATGTACCTACCAAATGTATAGTGTGTATATATATAATTTTTTTTAAAATGGAAGCTTATTTAAAATGGAAGCTTGATTTTATTTAAATATATTTTTTTAAATGGAAGCTTGTTTAAATTATGATCAATCAAAAATAAAATCTATGCAATTGAATTATTTTTTTGTTAATATATGTACCTAGCAAATTATCTTTTGGCAAATTTTATCACCTTCTCTTCTTCGGTACATTTTTTTTTTTCACCTCTTCGGAACTTAAGATGACGAGATGAAGGACTAATATGCTTTGTGTTTCCAAACTTTATAACTACCTCCTTTACTAGAGAGCAAACCCATGTGGTGTCTTTTTTGTTTCGTCCAGTTTTCTTTTTCCTTTTTTTTGGTCTGGTCAAGTTTTCTTCCTCCTGTTTTTGGTTCTTTTGGGACCAGAGGATGCCTTGTAGCGTCTTATCAAGAACAAACCGTATTTCTGGTGGACGGTGCCTTATAGTTAAGGTTGTAAAAACAACAGAGCTGAGCCAGGCTTGAGTCTGTTCGGGAGCACTTGGGATCGTGGTAAGTTTGAGCTCGGCTCTTTATTATTTTAAAAAGTTCAGACTCGGGTTAGTCTCGTTGTATAACAAAAGTCATTCGGGCTCAATTTTAGTTTGTGTTCAAGATTATTTTGGTTTGTTCATGAACTTATATGAACTTACACAAGCTTATGTTCGTGAAATTAAACTTATGTTTGTGAATGTGTTCACGAGCCTATACGAGCTTATATTCACAAACATATATGAAGATACCATTAATGACCTGGGCCCGGTTCGGATCAGGATGCTCGGAATGGGTCGGGTAATTGCAATCGAAGCAAAGCCAATCCACACCGAGTAGGCCCACAACAAGGAGGACAGTGAATGGACCTGAAGAAGAATGAAGGGAGTTGGGCTCAAATTAGACTAGAAAGGCCAAGGCCAGCCCATCACGAGGGAGTCAGTTAGAAAACATGAGGATAGCTTGTAACCGTCTATTTATAGACGGAAAATAGAGGAAAAAGGGGTTGGAAAATATTTTTGAAGGGTAAAGTTTCTCTCTCTAGAATTGGGGAAAATCTTTTGCATCTCCAATATACGAGCTTATATGTTCACGAGCTTAGCCTTATATTGTTCAGTATACTAAACAAACCTAGAAATTAAGCGTGAACTCAATTCATTAGCTTAACCAATGCACAAAAATTGAGTTATTCATGAACAACTCGTTTATTTGCAGCCTTAAGAGAGAGATTGATCATGAAAATAGAGAGAGATCTTGAATGTGAGTGTGTAAAATTTCAAGAGTTAGTGATCCTTTTTATGTAGAGTTGTGGGGTCTTCCATAGAGTAGTGATACTCATACCGAACACTTGCAGCAAATTATGTAACCCAATAATTTTTAATCGGCTATTTATACCAAATACAACTAAGTGGAGGATTCCATTTCATTATTTGTTTTAATAATTGACCAATTAAAAGAGTATGTTTAGTAATTCACTACAATTATTCGGTGCCAGAATCATTTTTCTATTAAAAATGTAGACCAAATTTGACAATATAATGAGGAACGGATCCTCCTCAAGAAAATTTCTCTCTGACGATTTCCCATCCCACTAAAACTTTCACTTTACTTTTTGGCAAATTCAATTTTAAGAAAAAAATAAACTTTTTTTTTTGTCATAATTGTCTGATGTAGTGAAATCTATATTCTTATTCATAAATTCTAAAAAAAAATGGTTATACCCAAATTTTCAAATTTTGACTCGCACCCTTAATGAAATTATCTTCAACTGTAAATTTTGGAACTAATCTAATTGTAGTAAGGTAACTAATTGGATGAGAAAGAACCACGGCGTTTTAAGTCCAAACGATACATATTTATTAACGCAAAAAAAAAACTGTGAAATCTTTGTTGCAGAAAAAACTGTGAAATCTTCCTAACCTTAAATTGTAGCAACTGATGATAGTAGAGGGAAATCGAAAGATGGAAGCTTAATGGTAATTGTTATCTCGGAAATTTTAGTGCCAAAAAGTAAAGTGAAAGTTTTATATTGGAAATTTTAGTCCAAAAGATACTATATTTATTAGTTGCTACCTCCATCCCAAAAATAGTGTTATGTTTCGGGAACTATGTCAGTTCAATTTGTGAGAGTCACAGTTTTCTAAAAGTGACACTTTTTATGGGACGGAGGGAGTAATTAATTAAGTTTGGTAAATTAATGATAGAATGATAAGTTACTGATGTGGCACTATAACAATAGTAGGATTAAATATTTGGAGATACTAGGAGAAAAACTTCCTTGATCATTCATTTTGTAATGGAAGATCTAAATTAGAGAGCCACCATTAATCTTGTAATGGAAGATCTAAACTAGAGAGCCACGAAAAGTCACAATTAAAATTTGTCATAAAATAATTTATTAGACCAAAGAGTAAAGATAATGGAAGATCTAAATTAGAGAGCCACCATTATTCTTGTAATGGAAGATCTAAATTAGAGAGCCACGAAGATTTACAATTAAAATTTGTCATAAAATAATTTATTAGACCAAAGAGTAAAGATAAGAGAGTAAAATTGGGCCAAATAATACAAGTATCAAATTGGGCCAATGTGAGTGATTTTGCTCGACAAGTATCACCTATTTAGTTTGATTATTTAAAAATATGCAAGAATACATATTTTAACTTCAAATTCGAAATTGCTTGCGGGGCAGCAAAAAAATAATAATAATAATAATAATAATAATAATAATAAAAACTTCAAATTCGAAATTTGAGGGGAGGATGTGCGGCCAACAACTTTTACACAAGTGAGGCCCACTATCTTTCTTTTACATTCTGAATTTGGGAGAGAAATATTTTCTCTAACTATAGTTTTCAAAAATTGTAAAAGGCAAATTAGATTTTAGAAAACTTAAAAAAGAATAATATTTAAAATTGGGTATTTTTTTCAACTCGTTTTTAAAAAAATTATCAAACAAACAAATCTTAGAACTGTTTCTTAGTTTTTTCTTTTATTAGAAAATAAAAAATATTTTCACAAAACAAAAGAATCTCATTAAACGAACTAACTCCTACCTTTTCTTGATGTATATGTTGTCCACTCTTATTTGGTTAAAATTTTTGATCGGATTATAAATTTTTTTATTTTATTTTTAATAACAAATCGGATAGGAATCAATGCAATCTCATCATCTATGGTTGATAATGAAAAAAAGTTATATTACTTGATAGTCAATAAATATTTGTTGAAAAATTGTTCTCAATGTTAACTTGGAATCCGAACAAATTAAGCTGCATATATAATAAGGAACAATTTGATTTGTATATAAAATATGTAATTCTTTTAACTTTTGGTTTAGGTTTGATGCCTAAATTGATTCCCGAACTGTGGTCCCCTCTATCCACTTTGCTACTGGGGACTTGACCTCACCTTCTACTATAGTCTTAGGTTATATTTGATGAAACTAAATCAATACATAAAGTCATATGGAATCAAGTTTTTAAGATAAGGATAATGATGTTGTGAAGCAGCAAGTCAAAGTCAAACCAAAACTGCAATTTGATAAAGCACACATCCAAACAATGCTAGTCAAATACGTATAAAATTAGGAAAATCACAATCCCTTTGAAAGAAACGAAGAAAAACCACCAAGGGTCTATTTGGTTAAATAAAAATAGATGGTGGAAAGTGCTAGTCAAATACGTATAAAATTAGGAAAATTACAATCCCTTTGAAAGAAACGAAGAAAAACCACCAAGGATCTATTTGGTTAAATGAAAATAGATGGTGGAAAGTGAAAGT